CCCAACGTGGCAATTGCATTAACTGAAAATCCAAGTTCGAAGTGTGTGTGCGGAGCTTGAGCACGGACTTTAACTGTTGTGGCGATCGTTGTGGCATTCACTCTGAACCTCCTCCACCTTTCAACTAAACTGGGCTTCTCTTCCGACATTGCTGTTCGTGTAGGGAAGAAGGGTCAGCTCTCACCAGTTGAGCCAGTGAGAAGCTCAAGGCATCATGGGCAACATAGGCATGGCTGGTTTTGGAAGTCCACTGGTAATTGGGTATACCGACTTTTCCGTTCGGAAGCTGAAGGAATCATGGCTTTGTTGCCCTGTACATGTGGCCATTTCTAAATGGATTGTTGACAAGCATTTTTGCTTCAGTACTTTTGTTGACGTTGTTTCAACTTGCCTTTTGGTGCTCAGTTCAGAGTGGCTTGGGACGGCATGCATGTTGTTTTTTGGCAATAGTCTGAACTGCGAGGAAGGATGTTGAAGAAGCGGTGAAAGTGCTGCTGAAGATGAACATCTCAACACCTGAGCTCAGGGCGACCGTTGAAAGAACCGGAACTTTGACAGATGCTTCCCACTGGAGTCGAGCCATTCTTGCCGCCGCTTTCATCACATTCCCATTGCAAACTCCTTTCGTGCTTTTTAAGTATGGACACCACGAGCTTGGGATAGAAGATGGGTCCTTTCTCCATTGCCTATTGATCACCATCTCAGCAATACAGGCACTGGCCTTCGCATACCTGTTGGTCCTCCCTCCAGACCGGAAAGCCTTTGCTGCACGAGTGCAGTCTCTTTGGTTGCTGCTGTTTCCTGCCAAAATCTTCTTCTTTTTGGATGGAATCGGTTATGATGGCCACGGGCATATTTTGTACTACGTGGTATTGGTTGGTGTCTATCCCCCACTGCTGCTGGCCATGTCAATCATGGGGCCTGCCAAGACGGCGCGGATTCCGTTCTTCGGGCCACGATTGGTCCGCTTGGTCTTTGGCAAACCGCTGTGCCTCAAGAGGTTCGGGTGCCGCGCGGGGAAGAAAGGTCAGACGGCCCAGACCAACAAAAAGACTTCATTGCCATTGTTCTATGGTTTTTCGGAGAAGTGGAGATTTTGACAATCCCGTGTCGATTTCCTGTGCTTGAGCAGATTTGGGCTGAGTATTTCAGACCAAATAGTTTGTTGCCCGGAAATGGGAAATTTAGTGCATTTTTCGGAGTCAAGACATGACTCCATACCAGTAGCCAATAGTCTATATAGTTATAGGGCCTATGGTACAGTTATAGTTGGCTGGAACTTGCATTTATGGGAGTCTATACACGACTCTTGTTTAGGGGGCCTATGGTGTAGCTTGTGGGGCCTATCGACGCGCTCAATGAAGATGCACGACCGGGAGCAGTTGGCGCACTCGGACGAGAAGATCTCGTGTGTCACAACGTCGAGCTTTCGGAAAATTCGCTCCAAGAACTTCATGGGTTGGTCTCACTTCGAAGTCCTTCGAGTCCTCCCGAAACCGGCGTCGAACGGTTTTTGGTTCGACTCGATCTTGGTCCGGCACCAATGATCTGAAGGGCGGAGCGAAGGTGGCCGTGTCAGAAACTCGGACCATTCCGATTGGATCCCCAAGAAGCCACTTGACACTCAGCTAGGGATCCACTGCTACCTTCTCAGAAGGTACGACTAATCAATAGTCTCCCTGCTCACCTTCTCAAAATGTATGTGGATCCATAGTGACTGTATATTTGGGGATCTCCATTGGAGGTAACAAAGGGCTTGCATTACTACTAGGAACAAGGACGCTACTAGGAATAAGGGCATCGCTACTAGGAGGGTCCTAGTACAAATCTTGGAAAGATTGCCCGCCAAAAAATGCCCCATACTCATAGGTATACCAGGGCATACCCTTTCATATATATAGTATATATACTCGGAAAGCCCAACCGCTGTTCCAGTGCAGTCTTTTTCCTGACCAAATTAAGTCTTCTTTGATGGTCACGGTCATTATATATCCTTCTTTGTTTTTGTGCTATGTGGTGATTGGTGTTTATCCATGTTTATCCCCCACTGCTGCCACTGCCAGTCAGGCGCAGTTCTCGTTCTGTCAGGTGTGGTGCCCAGATTTCCCGGTGCTGCCGTTGGAACTCTCAAAGAAACAGAGTTTGGGCATGATGATGTACGTAGGTAGTAGGTACATACTGAAATACACAAAATAGACTAATGTGTGCGTACAAGGATTAGAATTGATAGATTCATTAATAGATTCTTTTGTGTAAAGCATTTGGGACACTGGGGGCGATGGACATACTGGTTTATGATCGGCTAGGTTCGGTGGTGAGAGTTTACATTACCCAAGGGTATGAGAGACTGTGAGCCAGCTCACTACCACCCACAAGAACTGGCAATCCATGCATAAACTGGGTAGAAAAGAACATGGTGTTGAAGTAGTTCCTTAGTCCTTGATAGTTTTCAATGTGTTTCTACGTGTTTTGAGTTTTGATGTCGATTTCTATGTGCCGATGTCATGGGCATGACCCAGCGACGTGGCTTGCCGCATTGCATGCCGGACTGCTCAAGCCACAAGCCACAAGCACAGCATGCCGGTCAATTGTTCCAAGACTGGGTACTCTAAAGAAATCGCCCCTCGAAGAATATACAGTCACCCGGTTCGTCAATAGTTAAAGATCGATGTTGTCATATTTGATGTAGGGCCTGCTTTTTGACCTTGGGAGATGTATTTACTGCGGCCTCCAGTGACACGAAGGGGCCCGAAGGGGGTGTATTTTACTTTATAAATAGTCATATGAATATAATTACTATACAATTTAGCTCATTCACATGCCGAGGTGATCTCCGTACCCAACGTTTCGGCCTCAGAACTGATCCAAGTTCCAGTGTTCTATGGAGTTCTCTGACGGCTTGACGACACTTATATAAGACTTGGCCGAAGACTTTTTGTGCCCAGCATGATGCAGCTCGCCAGCGCTTCCGACCATCGACGGGAAAGATTGGCCCAAGCCGGTTTGCAGAAGCAGGTCCGGTTCGATGGTCCCGATTCCCGATGTCGTTTCCTTTTTTGGGGGGGTCCTAAGATAGCCACACAGTTCAAGACTTGGTGTGCACAGAGGAAACACTGGGAGATATAATCAGCTGAGCAGTTGGCTTTTAATTCTGCAGAACCTGCCTGGTTGCATGCTGCAGGTTATCATGGCGACTCCGGAATCGTAATCGACTGGTAGAAACGGATTGATGACAAGCAATTGTGTCATTGCTCACATGGGGAAACATGCCATGTGCAGTCGCACATAATTTGTTCCATCTCAGTCATTGATTTGCGACTTCCAGAGCCTACACAGAGCCTACACTTCCGTACGAAAGATATGAAAGATGACATGTTTTGTTCCTTCCCTACACCTCCAAGTGCCTCCTCCAAAGGTATTTAGACCCTCCAAACCCACACCCCAAACACCTTCTCAGAAGGTACTTGGAGGTCTAGGGCTTGATTGCGTGGCAAGTTGGAACCCCCTTGACAGGAGCGGCTTACCTTGCACCCATGCATTTGTCACTCGGTGGATTTTTGCGGGATTCACATGGGTGTGGAAACTTCTGAGAAGCTTAAGGGGGTACTTTAGAAGCTAAGAAGGTAAGTAGGGGACTAAAGATCATTGAATCATGGAGCAAACATGTGCAGAAATTGGATGGACTTTGCATTTCGGGAAGTTAGAAGGCCGTAGAAATTCTTTGAGCCAACCAATGCTGAGTGATGCAGGACACTCCTGGAAGCGCAGTGAGCTAAATAGTGCTCTTAGAGCCTCGGAATAGAGCGCTTAAAGCCTCAGAACATGACAGGAAAGCCTGGATTCTTTCTGTAGATTGGGGGATGGCTAGCACTAGGGTTTACATGCGTTTGACCCTGTGTAAGCATTCCCATCTGTTGTGACAGGTACTGCGTTTCGATGTAGCTCCAATCCATTCAATTGAAAGGGCTGCGGCTTTCCTTGCTTCCTACGATGCAAAGCATCATATAGAGAGAACGAGGGAGAGAGAGAGAGAGAGAGAGAGAAACAAAAAAGAACAACAAAAACACATTTGGAGGTGTGGACTATATACTATATACTGCTTATTGTTTTACCCATGTTGTGCTCACACAATCAGGACCAAACCTAAAATGATTGAATAATGGGCACAACATTGGTAAAACAATAAGCACAATATAATCCACGCCTCCAAATGTTTGTTTTGTTTTGTTTTTCTCTCTCTCTCTCTCTCTCCCTCGTTCTCTCTCCCATTTTCTCTCACCGAATCGCATCTGCCGATCACCTCGACTTCCCCAATGCTCCTGTTTGTTTCTCCGTTCGCCCACGTCTCAACGTCGACCATTTGGACTCTTCTTCTCCTTTCCGCCCAAAAACGTCAATGATCGTTGTTTGGAGGCGATCGTTGTGGCGGCCTGGTTCAGGGCATCCGTTTGAAGTGCTTGGAGTGTCGCGACTTCGACTTGTGTGCAGCCTGTCTTCAAAAGGGTCGACCTGTCATGAGCAAACGCGGCACCCCACCCTTGGAGGTGACTCACCAGGCTGGGAGCAAGCAAAGAAGAATGTGAGATGTTCGCTTTTCAAAGCGCTACTTACTAGCATCATAAATCAGCATTGATCATATCATGCTTGTACATTGCTTGTACCTTTCTTCTTTAAACAATCTTTCTTGAAGCCTTTGTTTTTTCGGGCTGAAGGACAGCCATGAGATGCTGGTGTTGTCCCGTGCCACTTCCAACACCACAGTCGCCTCTTTGGTGAGCGCTTGGCAGAAAGGGAAGGTTGGGCGCCTTGGGACGTCCACGGTGGCTGATGACGAAGTCACAGCAACAGCTTGCAAGTTTGGATGCCCAAGTGTGCAGGAGGCCAGGTCTTTGACAGGCTGTACGGAACCGTACTTTGCCAAGGATACTGTGTGACATGAACCACGGATGCAGACGGTGGATGAGTCTGGACCCCTCCCAAAGGAAAATAGGATCATTTCAATCACTGCTCAGGCGGTTCCAGCATCCTTCATGATGCGATTGCTGCAAGTTGCAGCTCCAAAGATTTGACATCCTTCATCCTCAAGGTTCTATTGTTTTGTTGGTATAATTAACCTTATTAGCTATTGTTGCACCATCATCAACTATGACTATTAACGAGGTGGGTTGCCAACCACGAGTTGGTGATGGACACATATTTATAGATATGCCCAGTCCCCAGTTGTGATCTCCCACCTCCGTCCCCTGCGAGGGCCTCCCGGTGGCGGCACTCTGCAGCTGTGGCAAGACGCTGTGCAGCCGCTGCCTGCGCTGCTGTGGCGGCCCGGGCCTGTGGCTGCCAGGGAGACGCTGCCTTCCCTGGGCCCAGGCGCAGCAGTTGGGGAAGCAATGGCAACTGGCAACACCAGAGATGAGAGAGGAACTGAAGGACTTGGCAGGGTACTGGGGTGATTTCTCTTGATGCCCGCGATGCGAGAATGCTGCGATCTGAATGGAGGGGTTCAGGTTCTGGTTCTGGATTTTGGAAGTTGCTTGAGAAACCTGTAGTTTCACGCTAGCATATTGACATTTACGTCTCACTCGTACGAC